ATTTGGCAAAATAAGGTGTCTTTTCACTAGCTTGTATACTTATCTTAAAGGAACTGGCAAAATGGATGGTTACTAAGATGGAGTAACTGGTCAGTAGGTTTAAAAGGGTTTGTTTTGATTTCCCATTTCACTGTTGTAGTTTCTTAACAGAAATTGGGAACAATTAACCTGTACRAAATTCCAATTTATAGTTTTCCACAGTGTTGTGGCTATGGTTTTATTATTTAATTATAGTTTTGATTTAGGTACAAGAAAAAAAACTTTTAAAATCATTCCTTCAACTTTACTTGAAAAATACTGTCAAAAAGGCAGGGATAAGTCTTGGGATTCTTTGTAAAACACAAAACGGAAGACCTTGGAAAAACAGATTATATTGATTTAACCTTTTTTAATTGCATGTCTAAACATTCCTTAAAGCCTCAGGAAAAATCTGAAGCACATTACAAAGAAGCATCCAARGTTGTTCAGCTATAATTGGCATTGCCAGTCCTGAGTTTCCTGAGCTTCCTGACTTGACAAGCTAGTTAGCAGCTCACAGCAGCTGTCTTMTGAATTAAAAGGGCTTGGGCTTGATAAATCAATGTCTTTTAGGATTCTCCAAATAASCTGGAATTCAAAGCAGAGTATGTACAGACTAAATAAACAATGCAAGTCTTTCAATTTTCTAAACTATAGTTAAGATAATTTACATATTTACGAACTTATTATCTATTGATGTATTTGAATATTTAAGTAAAGTACATAAAAAATCCTGATCTAACCATTACACTCCATATAGTTTATTTACTGAAGCATTAAAGAAAGTGCAGAATGTAATGTTATATAAAAATCTATAGGCTTCCTGATGTACTTTCAGTTTACGTCTAGGTCAGATTGGATGTGACAAAAGACTTTTTGTTTGATGTCTATTTGGTTCCAGTGTTGAAAGCACATTAAAAAACCTGCACAAGAACTGCTATAAATTGAAATACTTTCTGGCAATATTTACAGAGAATTCAAACAATGAACGTTAATCGAGAGTAAACTCAATTTTCTGATCTTGCGAGTCCTCTGACAAGCACTGAGGAATCAGGGGTAAAGCAAAGGAAGTCTGGTCTGTAGCTGTTTGTGCTTCTCATAGTTGTGGAAGGAAAGTTTGGTGTCAAGGTTCTTAGGGCAGTAGTGAGTTTGGGACGTACTAAAAACAGTAAAATGTCTTCATTTGCTGCTGACAGACATGCACAGGATATACTGCCATTTCAGTATTCATTTTAAAAGTCTGCCCAGATATCAAATCAAAAAATCATAGTACCTATGGGAAGGACAGCCTGTTGTTCCTGGGCCTATATTCTTGTTTTTCCAGTAATTCAAACCTGTTCTTTCCCTTCCATGTGTTAGATGTACTGCCAGAAAACAGCTGTTTCCCTCAGTGATTGCAAGCATGGCTTGGTCATGCAGAGTACAGGTTTTTAAGGTCAGATACAGGTGGCAATGAGCAGCAGTTCTGTGRATGTAGGAGCAAAGGCCAGCAGGCAGGTGTTACAAGTTGGTGTGCACAGCTTGCATCACTGCAATTTAAATCACTTGTGTGAAATTCAGGATATTCCTCTAACTGAGCAGAAAACATGTTTCCGGATTCTTTCTTTTTTCATGTTTGCCCATATGCATGTTAAAATCGCATGGTGTATTTTCTGCATGCAAAGCAGTTTGAAAAGCAAAGGCAGCACTTCTGTATGGTGTTTTCTTTACAATTCATTTTTGCAGTAATGCTTGTTTCAGCAATATCTAATTTTGAAATTTTATAATTTCAAAAGATGCCTATTCTTTTAAGGAAGAAAACTGAACAAGAACAAATGGCACCTTTTAAGAAGAAAGAGCCTTTAGGCACTAGACTGCCTTGTCAGGAAATCCTACTAAACAGGCAACTACTTGATCGAATGGAACCTGAAATAAAATGGATTGATTGACTGAAATTAAGCCTTTCTAGACAGCTTACTATAATTAGATTTATAATCATATTATGTCTAGGTTTTTATACATCCTTTGTGTAGACTTCAAAGGATGTCTGCTTCCTTTTGAAGTATTTGCACTACCTATATATCAAACCTGTCACTGTGCAGAAATACTACATACCCTCCTTTCCTGCTCCAGGCCATAGTAAAACTTACTCTGACTTAAATAAATAAATAAATAAATAAAAKGCAGCTTATGTAGCTTATGTATGTTTCTATTAAAACATTCTGTGACTGTAGTACTAGTCCACTGCAGGAATATATGTGCTGGGGCTTGCTAGCATTCCAATAAAACAGAAGTTAAAAAACATAAAACATCAAGAACTTGTGTGTTATAGCAACTGTCTGGGGCAGCTGGTGAAATAAAATATGTTAGAAAAAGACCTTTTTCACATTGTCAAATTTACTCAAAGGAATAAATGTCATAATCTTGCCAAGACTCTGCTGTTATTCCTCATCCCTCAGATCTGTGACAGCTTTGAGCAGACCTTTGTGAGGAAACTAACTCAGTGTATCTTAGAGATTAATAGGAACAGTATAAATCTTTAGGGCAAAGAGCACACATAATCTAAGTGATTTTTCTTGGTAGAATTTGTGCCAAGGGCCTTTCCTAAATAATATATAGCGCTGGTAAAATCATCTTTCAACCACATTCCTATTTACCAGTATTAAAAATTAAGCAGATATGAACTAGGATGTTGATTCAATAAAGCACCTGAGAAGTAAGTACTCCGATACTCTTTCCCCATCTTCTAGTAACCCTTCATTAGGAGTAAGTCAGATAAAATATGACATTAATTAGGAAGAATTGTGAGTATACATATATATGCAGTTACAATTGACAGAAGCTGTTATTTTGTTGTGAACGGTTGTCACTCCCAGAAATGGAAGTGAAGATATAATCATCCCCCTTGGTTTTCAGTTTCCCAAAGGATGGTTACTGATAAGTGAGTGGGATACATCTTTTGAATTCAGTGCAGTATCATGTATGAGAAAGGGGAAGAAATTAATAGAATTTGCTGGCAGAAGTGCCTTTCTAGAGGAGGAATTAGAGATGGTTTATAATCTGCAATTATTCCAACTGATATATATCTGAAATCTTAAAAATTAAAAAAATCTTAAAAATCTTAAAATTAAATAGATTTTTTTTTTAATAGAAGATGGGCTCAGGAGTTCGCTTGATCTTCTAAAGCAAGAAATGCAGCATTTCAGGGAGCACTGAGCTGAAAGTTTTGATTTGGCCATGAAACCCTTTCAGGTATGTAAGCTGCTTTTCAACTAATAAAAAGTATTCACTTATAAACCTTGCATGACTTATTATTAGACAAAGGCATAAAAATCCTCAGTTCCAGGTTTTATCATTGCAGCTGAGAAGTCGCAGCAAAATCATTGGGTTAGAAACAGCTGTTCTTCGTAAAACCTAATTACGCTGAACCATTAGACTACTGGAGAGCCAAAAAATGACGAGCATCTGTGGGCAAGGGCGGGCAGTGGGAACAGCAATCCCCAATTAGCACCTGGGGAACAAAGGGAGAAAAGAGTTATTAATTTCTTTTAGGGAGAGGAGGTCAGCAAGAAAACCCAAGTCCTTAGTTCTCAAGTTTGACTTTGATGTTTATTAGAAGATAATAAAATAAGTCATGAATGCTCTTCAGGGGTTATTTTAATCTCCTCCTTTGTTTATGCTGTTTCACAAAGTGAAAAAAAGACTTTTTTGTTGTTGTTGCTTTGTTTAATATTGTTTCTAGTGAGGTCCTGCTGTTAAATACTGTAACAGGTTAAAATTTCCAGCTGAACAAAAGTTCAGCTTCTATATTCTACAGTAGCAATTAGTACTCCAGAAATGGGTTGGGAACCCATCCAGTAAGGTGTCACCTGTATGAAATGTAAAGAAAACAAATACTAAAGAGTTTTCTTAAATTAGAATTTAAGGGATGTGTCTGCATTCTCTCAGGACTTTCATAATCAGTAAGATCTGAAAACACATGGAGGGTTTTTTTTTGCCAAAAAGTAGTCAGTCTCCCAGGTGAGAGGGACACTGAATTGCTGTCAAAATGCTGCAAACTTTATTTAATGTAAATATACCCTCAAGGCGTTCTTATTAGGGGCTTCATGACTGAATTCGATGTGGAGAGATAAAAACAACCACTGCCAACATTCAAAATGAAAAGGTGGTGAAATTTAGCCTCAAAGGCAATAGCTTTGGCATGTAAGCCATTCAGCAGCTTTTAAGGGAGATATAATTCGCAAAACACACAATATATAAGAAGCATCTGCTTTCAATTTGAGAATAATAAAAAACCTTATTTAGGTGAAAGACCTGATGTGCTGTATTAAGCAGCGAGTTTACAGTGATACCTATTTGTAACTAGATTGGTAAAAATTTGTTTTATAAGGAAGATGAATTTGAACAGTCCATAAGAAAATTCTTGAGGTTCGCTGGCTGGTTTATTGCAAAGTACAAACATTTAATTATTGGGCAGAGGGAATCTTTTAATAAAGGGTTTTTTTTTTTTTTTTTTGAGTCTTTCGTTAGCTGGAGACAACAGGCCACAACACTGCAATGGTAACAAATTAAAGAACTTTAAAACGAATCCCGTATTACTGTTTTCAATCGACTCTCGGTACTTTCGACCCCCGACACCCCTCGCTGCCGTTAAGGCCGCGAGGCGCTAACTCCGCCCCCACCTCCGCGCGGCAGGTCACGCGGCACCCCCAACGGCCTCAGCGTCACGTGCACGCGACCAACGCCCTTTCCGCCAACGGCCGCGCATTTTGAAATAGCACGGTGCGCGGCCCCGCCCACCGCTTTGCTCCGATTGGCTGAGACCTCCCGTCAGTCACGCCCGTGCGCCGCTAGGCGGCTGCTGATTGGCTGGTGCGACGGAGAGAGGGAAAGGTGTCGCGGCGGTGTTGAGCGAGCGACGTGCGGGGTGGCTGGTGGTGGCGCCGCGATCGTGGGGACGGTTTGCGGCGGGCTCCCCGTGTGGCGCAGGGCTCACACCGCGGCCTCGGGTCGTTGTCGCGCTGTGGGGACAGGTGAGGGCGGCAGCGGGGAGAGACGCGAGGGTGTGAGGGGAAGGGAGCGGCGGCTGCTGGACGTGCGGCTCCGCGCGAGGGCGTTGGAAGCCGGCCTCGTTACCTCCTCCCTGGCTCTTCAGGCTGTCCTCTCTGCCTACGGCCCGCCCTTGGTCTGCCCGCTCCGTCTTGTGGACACTTGTCCCCGCTGTGGCATTGCACACTTAACAGATCTTGTGGTTTTAGCCTGGGGTTCTGTTGCTGCACTTGCAGATCTGGTCTGAATGGGATGAGAGAAGGAAAAACTTAACTCTGCCTCACTCCTCGTTTTGTTGGGGTCTCTGTGCACCTCGTTAACCCTCAAACTGTGGAGACACTTCTTGATTACAGCATCTCTGCSTACAGCCTGCAGGTTGTGAGACGTGGTAAATACAACTGAGCTGTTGAGAGAAGCACTGTTTGTAGCAAGTGGGAGTCATGCTGTGATYTGTAGCTGTTGATTTCCAGGAGCAGGTTGTGCTCAGCCCAGTTTCCCTTCTAGGCTCACTTTTTGATGAAGTTGGGTCATTCAGTGATCAGTTGTTTTAATGACCCTCAATGGGTGTCATATGAACTGCTCTCCAAAATGGCTGCTCGTATGGATGGTCGGACTATGAGGACCTTCTCAGTAGAAAAGAAATGCATATTCCCCCCTCGCCACACACAAAATGCTTATTTTATAATTTGGAAAAAGAAAATATTACCACCCTATTAATGGTAGTATAGAGTCTGTTATAATGTCATATGAAGATTTTCATATGACGAATGTGTGTTTGCACACAGGAGCAGCTTCTTCAGGATAGTGTTTCAGAGTTCATTACAGTGATTGTGATCTGTTGGGCAAAAGGGAACATCTACTTTTAGGTAGAAATATTACTGTATAACACGCACAGAAATGGTGTCGGAAGGAGCTATTTAAATCATTTAAGTCTAGCCATAAATAATTAGAGCAAATATCTTAAAAGTTTCTTTCAGTGTGTGCAAAATCATATTAGCTTAATTTTGAGGTGGTTTCAGTAGAATATTTTAAAAAAACTTTAACRCTATGGGGAAGTTTAATGTTTTTGAATGTGGAGACGAATGTTTGCTAAGTGTGGCAGGTAATAACCTGAAAACCTATATATTTAAAAATGGGGGGGAATATTTGTAAGTTATCTACCAAATATGCTATTATTTCTAGTAGCACTTCTTATTTTCTTTAGAAGCAGGAAGTTAATAATCGGCTGTCACACAAAATAAATAAGCTGCTGATTTGGGTAGAGCAGCTAAATGGGACAGTTCAGTCTGAGTTTGTATGCACTGACCACAGAGAGGGTGGGGAAGGTGGCTGTAGCTTCAATCTGTAGAAGAAAAGGTGGTCGTAGCTACTTCTGAAGTYTTTTTCCTATTCTTTGGCAACGTTCATCAGCTCAGTGTAGTTGAGGAGTTATACTGGGTTTGTGCAGTGCTTGAACTAACTGGTTGCCTAGGACTTTGAGTAGTGGACTACCTGTTCACTCCCTAGTTTAACTTCCTTCATACTCCACTTTCCAGATTTTTTAAATTGAAGTCTGAACTAAGGAGCTTGGACTTCATTGTTCAGCAAATAGTGTGTGCTCACAAGAGAATATTCTGTATGTGGAATTGGTGGTGGTATTTTTTTTTTTTTCCCCTGGAAGAAAATAAATGGTTAAGGTTTGAGGATGGCGTTCAGGTCTGACATTGAAAACTAACCAAGCTGAACATTCAGAGGGCACTAAAGAACAGTTGTAATTTCTGTTTCTGGTTTTGCTGTATAGTTCATATTTGGAATATTTATTTAGGAGAATGAGGGGCATAGCAGTTGATTGTTCTATGTTACCAGACTAGCAAACCTCCAGGATTAGGCTATTTTAAGTCACTGTTTGTGCAAGGGATTGTGCTGTGTTTTGAAGATTGCTTTTGGCTAATTACTGTAGACCTCTAGAGAGGGAATGAGGTTTTATTTATTTATTTATTTACCTAAGGGGGCTTTACTGGCAGACTTGATAATAGCATATAGATTCCTTGGTATTGTTTCCCATCACCTAGATGACATAAAGCCTAAGCTGTGGTGGTGTGTGTGGGGGGGTACTGGCACAGCAGAAGGTAGTGATTTGAGGTGGAACAGTAATAACTGTAATAATGTACCTTTTTCTTTGTGGACACCRTGGAAGTGGATAAAGGCATCAGAGTAAGGATGCCCAAAGGTAGGTTTATCTCCTTAACTCCTTAGTTCTTTTGACCCATTCTGTCTTGTCTTATTTTATACTATTTTGGTTAAATTGTATTGTTCTGAATTTCTTGAACTGTTGGCACTAATTTKGCATGGACTTAATGTATTTTTAAGGGTTGTTTTTTTTTAATTCAAATACTCTTATGGATATTTTTGTAAAACATGGTAATGAAAGTGTAACATTTTACTTAATAGTGTGTAGATCTACACAACTACCAGAACATGATGGTTTATGAAAGCATTTTTCAGTATACTTGAAAAGCCGCATACTTGCAACATAGCTGCTACGATATCACTGAAGAGTAACTCAAATGTTATGCTAATTCTAATCTAGGATCTATAGTTGCTGATAAATCTTTTGAAAGCAAGTACATAGATGGCAATAGTTGAATGTAGAGTTGGAGGCTTTATGTTAAGCTTAAAATCAGTAAATAATCACAGCATAAACTATTCTTCTGTACTTTGATAACTTCTATATGTAAATAGCAACTTAGAATTCTTTAAATTACTTGTTCTGTTGAAGCTATTGCAGATATGCATGAGGAAAATACAGATGTAACAAATGGATGTGGCAAAGTCAGAAGTGGAACACAAAATGAGGCTGCCTTACTTGCACTGATGGAGAAGACTGGGTACAGCATGGTTCAAGAGAATGGGCAAAGAAAATTTGGTGGTCCTCCACCAGGTAAGCATTTTTTTAGAGAATATGGAGTTAGCTAATTTTATGTCAATAGAGCTATACTGTGTCAGACTAAAAAGTTGTGCAGCCCCATGTCCTGTATCTTGATAGTGATCAGTAGCAGATGCTTAGGAAAAGTGTATAGGAAACAGAACGTATGACTTTTGATATGCTTTTACAACTTGAGGAGTTTGAGATTTCTTGTGCCAGAACTACATTTAACAGCTGTTGAGGGACATAAGAAGTCACAGCTCGTAACAGCAGTAAAGTTACAGGRCAAAGCGGATGTGGAATTGAAAATGCCATGTGTTCATGTGGTTGAGAACATGGATGGAAAGATTTGCTGGCACTGTCCCTTAAAGCAAATAAGCAGTAGTAGTCAGACCTTAGCCTAAACTAGTATGTCTCTCTGGTTACCTCTTGCATGGGCATGTGCTTTTCTTGATGACTCGGCTTTCTGAAATAACACCAATAAAGAAAATAAAACTTTTAATTCTCAGATTTGACTAATGTGTTCCTCACACCTATTATAACTTTAAAAAAAAGGAGTTCTGAGAAGAAAATTTAAAAAAAATGTTGTGCTTCTACAGCTTACAGCCTTCGTTGGAGGCTTGTTGAGCACTTAAATTTAAGTGCTTGTTGAGCACTTAAATTTATTTTGGAAGACAAATTCAAAATAAATCCTAGATTTTAGGGCTGATAAAGGAGTTCTTGCTTGATGATATTCATAGGTCGTTCTAGTTCAAAGCTCGATTATATTAATACTGGGTGGGTTTATCTTGTGCTACAAAGACTGAAAGTTTGTAAAATAAATGTTTAAAATAGTTATTATTTTGAATAAAGAAACTTAAATGGAGTGAGAAAAATAGAGCAGTAGTTTTGTTTTCCTAGGAAGCTTTTTTTTGTCATTGTTGTCATATATTAGAAATAAAATACGCCTTTGCATTTGTTATTCTCATATGAGGCTTATAATGTATAACCACATTAAAATGATTTCTTTTTGGAAGTTTCTTCTGCCTACAATTACTTACATAAYTTTACCAGCTTCCAAGATTTACGTAAATAGAGCCCTCTGCAATTCTTTTTAAAATGGCACTGGATAGAGAATTCCAGTGTATTACTGAACTTTTTCTGAGATCTCAGCCAGTTCTTATTTAATGCATTATAATGACTGTTGTTTATTTAGAACATTAGGAAGTATTAAAGATGGTCCTTTTGCAAAATTAGAATTTGTTAATCTTTTAGGATACTGAAATTAAGTGATTGGCAAGACCTGTGTCTCATAAATTAAACTTTATAGGAACCTTTCTTGTCAAAGCTTCAGAAAAAAATCAGTTAACTCTTTATCTGCATATGAACTTCTCCCATTTTTTTTTTTTTTGTAAAATGCATATTAGAGTGCTGTATTTGCTCATATTTTTAAATGTACATACGTGATTTTTACATTATTTGTTTTCTCTGCGTACAGATAAACTAAAGAGTATATGAATATCTGCTTGGCTTAATGGCAGAAACATCCTTATTTGTGACTTTCAGATGTGAATGACGGACTCACTAATTCTGTAGATATTTTTATCTCTACTATCCATCTCAAACTGATGGAAAACCATGGCTAGTTGTTTTTAGGAAGAAAGGGTTTTCTTGCTATTGAAGGAGAGAGAGCTGAAGGAAGGATCTTACCTCCATTAGTGGGTCTTTGTTTTGATGGATGGAAGGAGAAAGTGGAATCAGAATGTTTAGAGCTTTTGAATGATGTGAAGGGAAAAAATATTGGCACTGGGGACACTGATCAGAATTTCTTAAAATGAGGACAAAAAGTGGAGAGAAACAACTCAATTTTCTTATGTTAGGGTAGAAAATAAAAGTCTTTCTCTTGCAATTAAGATAATTATGATATATCAGTTCTATTAACATCGTTTTAAGGGGAAAATAWATCTTTGAGAGGCAAGCCAGTAAGCCTCTCAATGCTTTAAATGATGCTAGTTTCAATGCACTGTCAGGTATATCCAAATGAAAGAGACAAGTAAAAAGTCTGTGTGGGGAAGAATGATGTAAGCCAGCAATTTATTTTTTTTCTTTTATTCTTTTAGAATATATCAGTTCTATACTAATACTAAATTGCTCCACCTCCCACTCCAAAACTGTATGAACGAAGGGTATCTGTCGAGCACTTGTGCTAAGATTCTTTGTTGGACAATTTATTTTAAGGTTGGGAAGGTCCTCCTCCACCTCGTGGATGTGAAGTTTTTGTGGGAAAGATTCCTCGTGATATGTATGAAGATGAACTGGTTCCTGTTTTTGAGAGAGCTGGGAAGATATATGAGTTCAGACTGATGATGGAATTCAGCGGTGAGAATCGAGGCTATGCRTTTGTGATGTACACCACTAAAGAGGAGGCCCAACTAGCCATTAGGATTCTTAATAATTATGAAATCCGTCCAGGGAAGTTTATTGGTGTCTGCGTAAGCTTGGACAACTGCAGACTCTTCATTGGAGCAATTCCAAAAGAAAAGAAGAAGGAAGAAATACTGGATGAAATGAAAAAAGTTACAGAAGGAGTGGTGGATGTCATTGTTTATCCAAATGCCACCGATAAAACTAAAAATCGTGGCTTTGCTTTCGTTGAATATGAATCTCACAGAGCAGCTGCAATGGCTCGAAGGCGACTCATCCCAGGTAAGCTTTTTTTATTTTCATTTATTTTCTATTTTTATTCTAAGAATTTTGGAAGGAGAATTATCTCTTTTTTTGGTCATTCCTGTATATAGTACTTTGAAAGTTAAAAAATTGTGCAACGCTGCTTCTCAACTAAAGACTTCTTTTTGATTCATGAATAAACAGTTCATTTTTTTTCTTCATTAAATTTGAATTTTATCAGTCTTGAGAACAAATTAATAGCTGCATTATAGACACAAGTTACTGAAATTTACAAGTGTGCCGAGATACTTGGGCATACTCCAGTTTTCATTTGCATGCATGAGTCCCTGGGTAGGAATACTTTTGTAGTTGAGCTTAAAAATGTAGTGGTTGGAATGTATCCCTGTTTTCTAATAAAGCTTATTCTGTAATGCTCAAAATGTTGACTTGARTAACAAGTTTTTGTTTGTTTGTTTTTCTTTTTTGTTGAATTTTTTCAGTGTCCATTAGGAAATATAAGAAGGCTCAAGCTAGTGCATATACATGTATATTACTTTTTACAGGTGTTATGCTTATTTCTTTTAGCTGTTAATCTTACTGAAGTTGGTGTATTTGCCARCTAGTAAAATCTCCTGTTTGGGGCTGTTGTGTGTGCTCGTGCATGTGTTTGATCAAGTCTCTGTTTTTACAAGTAATGGTGCTTAATAAACCTAATGGATATGGATACACACATTTCTGATTTTTGCAAAGTCTTATTTTGTTTAATAATTTTAAGGGGCATGCTTTTTTGTTGTACTGTTAAGCGGAGGTAGGCAACRAAACTCACTGATTCATATAGAGTGTGTGTGTGTGTGTGTACATATAAATATATAATATTTAAGAATAGATAGAGCTAGAAACTGTTTTTTTCTATCCCTTGCATCTTTCTTACTGGCCTAATGCTTCTTTGCTGTAGGAACATTCCAACTCTGGGGTCATACTATTCAAGTAGACTGGGCAGACCCAGAGAAAGAAGTTGATGAAGAAACAATGCAGAGAGTTAAAGTGTTGTATGTAAGAAATTTAATGATATCTACTACAGAAGAAACAATTAAAGCTGAATTCAACAAGTTCAAGCCAGGAGTAGTTGAACGTGTAAAGAAGCTGAGAGACTATGCTTTTGTTCATTTTTTCAACAGAGAGGATGCAGTTGCTGCTATGTCTGTAATGAATGGAAAGTGCATTGATGGAGCTAGCATTGAGGTAACACTGGCAAAGCCAGTTAACAAGGAAAGTACATGGAGACAACATCTTAATGGTCAGATTAGCCCCAACTCTGAAAGCCTTTTAGGGTTTCCTAATAAAGAAGATGGTCATCAAAAATCCTTAGGAAAAACATCAAGTCTTTCAGTTCGTCCTAATGGCCAGCACAGTCCAAATCTCCCTGAAATTGAAAGATGCACATACCCATTTTTTCCAGGAACAAAGCTTACTCCAATTAGCATGTATTCTTTAAAATCCAGTCACTTCAGTTCTGCAGTAATGCACCTGGATTATTATTGCAATAAAAATAACTGGGCACCACCAGAATATTACTTGTATTCAACCACAAGTCAGGATGGGAAAATACTCCTAGTGTACAAGATAATTATTCCTACTATAGCAAATGGTTCCCAGAGTTATTTCATGCCAGACAAACTCTGTACAACATTAGAAGATGCAAAGGAGTTGGCAGCACAGTTTACACTTCTACATCTAGGTAAGCATAAATGTTTTTACTAAATTCTTAAGCACAGAAGCTAGAAAAGTTAATTTAAAATYGTGGGGTTTGTRTACATCTTGTGTCCTGTGTATCTTGCATATTCAGCTCCATGTGCAACATCAGGGTGAGAGCGTTTGAAGGAACAGTGCCAGATTTTAAACAGTGGGKTTTTTTTGCTTTGATTTACCTGCCTTAATGATTTATGAGGAACAGCTAGATGACATGTTAAGTGACTTAGGTAGCTGTAAGGTCATCCACATGATGCTGAAAAGTTGTGTATATTCTTGATTTAACATCTGAGAGGTAAAGCAGAAGTGGCTAGTGCATATTCAGATGAATAAATAGTTGTGGTAAGCTGGTTTGATTTCTCCAGACATTCTCAAGGCTACAGCAGAATTTCACTAGAGACTTCAACTGAAGGTAACTTTGGGTAAAGACCACTGTCGTTTAATATGTTACTAATGTAAAGAGAAAGTAAGCAGGGGGGAGGTAAGGCAGTTATTCTTAATTACTTAGAGGTCTAACATCTTCATTTGGTATATATTCTACTTCTAATCGAAGCTTATCTTTCTAGGAGTCACATTTTATTAAAACATCTCTTCTTACCGTGACTATAACCATGGTTATACCCCTACCATAACTAGGGATGCAGATCACTGCATTGTTATCCCTGTTGCTTTGTAAAAGGATTTACATAAATAATATAGTATGTAACACTTCTCCCCTCTAGTTCATGAGTTGAAATTTCCACTTCTCTAATAATGTATATATAATGTATATTTTGATTTGTATTGTATTACATCTAGCAGAACTCATTTCTAATGCCGGATAGTTTCATTAGTAAATGTAGTCCTCATCTATGAAGTCTACCCTAAAGGAAACTAGATTCCAGTATTCAGATTCAAAAGCTGTTGTGGAAACATACTGWAATGGTTTGAAATCCACATACATTTTGGGGCAAAGTTTTGCATAGTTTATTCCATTTTGTTCTTTCGAGTAATTTTCCTTCTGCTAATTAGCACTCCCTTTCTGGCCCTTACSTCATTGCATTTTTGAAAAATAGATAGAACTGATCTTTTTAATAATATTGCAAGTTTTGGAAACAGTCACTTAAATTTTGTGAGCTGCTGTGTAGCATTCTGGTGCATTGGTTGTGTGGTTTCTTTGGGCATGGCAAGGGCTGTGCACGATGTGTTCTGAAATATTACTCATGCTTTGCATATTTGCATATTGATATTTCTCCATCACTACAAACAGTCCTTCCAGTGAGTCCTGGTGTCAAAGCGGATCTTTTCTCTGGAAATGGTAGGCTGCTCTGCTAATAACAAACTAGTGCCTTATTGTCTGTAGGGGGCCGTTTGTATTTTGCTGTGGTCGTAAGGAAATTATTTGTGAATCTCTTCCAGGATCTAGGAAGTTCAGGTGGGTTATGCTTTAGTGCAGTATTATTTCTGCATTTTAATAGGTCACTTCAGTAGCTTTGAGTAAAGCATGTGTTAGCATGGCTGCCTTAYAAGGCCTGGGCTTTCTGTTTGAAAGTGATATTTTTAGTGGGAGATGACTGGTCTGTGCAGTCCAAGAGTGTTTCTGGCATCAGACCTGGGGATCCTGTACAGTGCAGCTCTGGAATACAAGCACAGTGCAGTAACAGCATCTGACCCTTTTGAGAATTGCTGTGTGTACCCAGGAGCGCAACCACTCTGAAAGTGTCACTGCTAAAGAAATGGGAATGTGTGTGACCCTGATTTCTATAGTCAGAATGGCTCCCACCATCTCCTCTAAGGTGTCTTGTTGGATTGGAAAAACTTGTTGGTAAAAGTCTGGTAAAATATGTTGCCATCTTTCTCTCACTTCTGGAAGTCTCCATTATTCAATGAACTGAGTAATATATTTTTAATGATAAAACAGTATAGTATCCATGTTCATTTTTTATGCATTTATCTAATGTGTAAAGTTAAATCCTCCTCTTCCCTTTTTTTCCCCATAGTTAGCAAAATTAAGGTCAAATCTTCATAACCTAAGTCTGAACAAGAAGTATTAAAATAGTGCTAAATGTGAAATAGTGATGTGGGACTCAATTTATTGCTYAAAGAAAAGGCAGCTTTAGGTTCTGTGCCTGGCTGTGCATAGTGCTGCTTGTTTGGTGTCTTCTAGGTAGCATTATCTGAAGTAAAAAATATTTCTTCTCCTATACTGCTTTGAGAAAGAATTGCTGGYACAATCACAAGGAATGAGTTGAGTAAGAATGCTTCCATGCAAYGGGTCAAAACCAGAATGTAAAGAAGCTGTTCTGTTTTCTTTTTCTTTCTTTTGAGCTTTTCATCTTTCCAGTTACAGTTGTAAGTACTATAGGGAAGACATYTTAATGTGAATTTAAATTAGCAGTGTCTGTCTTTAACGTTTGGTAGCACTTCAAAGGCCGTAAACTCTTACCAACTGGGATTTCCAAATCCCAGGTTCAGTTTTTAAAAGCATGGCCTGGTATTTGTTGTACTTCTTATCTTTTGAACTACAGAAATGCTTTTCATTTTTGCAGCCTTGTTAATGGGGCTTGGTCCTAGCACAGAGCATGCAGAGCGCTGTGCAAAGCAAACTTGTGTGACCAGCTTCTGAAAAGTGCAGCTCCTTCCTGTTGAGCACTGTGCTGATGCTTTAAGAACTCTAGAAATAGAAAAATTCTTCCCCACTTAATCTACAGAGGTCAGTTTTGTTCTAACTTGATAATGATATTTTGAAAGAACTGCCTGAGGCTAAAGAAGAGGTGCTGAACGTGACAGAGGATCCCTCTACTCCCTCAAGTGGTCTGGCATCTGAGATGAATGATGCTGGATGGACACATGTATGTCCCTATAGATAGCAATAAAATCGAAAAAAGCATTAATGTTTCCTGTTGGAAGCAACTTGCTCTAAACATGAGTGTGCACAGATGAGATGGTTGCTTTTGGTAAGTACGATCCTTACAGGAGCTTAAAATTTCTGCTACTTTTTTTTTTTTTTTTTTGTGATTCTTTTCCTTTATAAAATCATACAACCAAATTAAGGTAGGTGGATGAGAATGACCTGGTTTGAGAGAACTTGAAAATGTAACTGCATAGACAAACTGTTATCAACCAGAATGAAAATAATCTTCTAATAGTCTTCTGTTCTAAATAATCTTCTTTCTAAATAGTCTGTGCCATGCTGAAGTCCAGAGAGCATCCAGTGTGCAAGAGTGTGACTTTGCCAGACGATATAAAGGGCTTGCATACCTTTAGATACTGCAAGAACTGTTCTTGCAGTGCTTTGTGAACAACGTAAGAAGGAAAGCTGCCTGCAGAAAAATCAAAGATAATAAAATGTGTGCTTTGGGCATTCTTTCCTTTATAATAGAGACTTTTTATTATTTTAGTAGTTGCAGTTTCTTTCTCTGCACTGTTGGGTACAACATTGGATCGAATTTGTATTCTCTTAATCCTTTTCTTTTTCCCCAATGCTTGTTTTGATTTATTTAGGCCAATTAGATTCTGTTTTCATAAGCTTTCTGCTTCTTAAAGGGAAAATACACAGTCCAATAAACTATCTTGACTTTTGAACGTCAGAGAGGAAAATGCTTATCTAGACCTGTCTCTTCCAAMGATAACCCTAAAATGTCAACAAGCTTCATCTTAATATCCATTGAGTTGATACGGAGATGTGTTATACACTTTTATTTAGTCCTTCTGTATTCAAAGTTGGAGTTCATGTTAGTGGGGAGACATGGACTCTTTCAAAACGTGTAAATGTTTCTGAAGCATAGAGGGCATTGTAATAGGAGAGCTGTTATAAGAGCTGTCTTCTTTTTGAAACCTGCCCTTTCCCAGGTGCAGTTAGTGACTTTCTGAGTTAAAAGGGGGTCCAAGAAGATTTAATGCTTGGGCAGTAGCACTAAACATGGGAATGAGTGTCTTGGTGCAGCGGGTCTCAGGAGGCTGCAGGGATCCCCGAGGCGCGGAGCAAGCAGCGGCTGCACCCGCCTGGCAGCTGCCGGCAGGCRGGCGGCTTTAGGCCGTGGCTGCGAAGGTGCTCTCGGCAGAAGAGCATGGTTGTGTGGGAAAAGCGTGTGATGGTTGCAGCTTACYGCGTGTATGTCGTGAGCAATGCAAGAGCATTCTGTAAAGGAGAGAGTTGTGCAAGACAGAGTTACGGATACAGGCTGAATGTATAAAACAAGATATTTTTTTTTTCCCCAGCTAAATTCTGCCCAGAAGTCTCTTTTTCAGATGTTGCTTTTATTTAGTCAATAGAAAAAGCAGAACTGTAACTGCAAGAATAAAGGTTTCTACAGACAAACTTACTATACAAATCATAACCAAATATGGATTCTGGAACTTCCATTATGTTTCTCTTGGTTACTACAGGTAGTGTGTTTTCTGAACCTGTTGTTCTACACATACAGCTAAAATAATTTTCTCCTTTTYGGTACATTAGTACAGTAGTATTTTTTCCTCCACACAGTATGTTATGATTGTTAAAATCGAGGTGTTTTATATGCGATAAAGGACATCTGTTTCTGTGCTATATATTTTTGTATTCCAGTTTGTTTAACAGAAGGCTTGTTTGATACCATAGCCACAGTCCTGAACAGTCTGTGGTACAACAATTTACCACATGGTGTCACCAGAATATTTTGAAAATGATGTTCAGAGAAAACAAGGATGCATGATTTAACTGAAAGATGAATGAACTACATTTAAAGATACYATAGCAACTGTGAAAAGAATGAGGAGGAACATATTTGTTTTAAATAGCTAATAATTATAAGCAATGGTCCTTACTGGATAACAAACCAATACTACTAGTCCCAGACAGGAAGACTAAGATAAAACTTTCAGGAATTTATTTATACTTTATATTTACTTTTTAGTTTACATTTACTTATATTTTACTTTGGTTTATATATATCACTTGTATTTAWACTTTTATTCTGTGAAATGACTATTTTAGAAGTAACAATAGAATTTTCTATAGACAGTTTTTTTTTTAAGCACTGATTTTTCAGGGTGTTAAAAGACACCCCCCCCATCTGATCTCCCACATAGTTGCAGATTTATGTTCAGAACTGAAGATGTTACTACACTGATGACTTGAACTTCTTGGGCAATCTCATGTGAAAGAAAAAGCCTGTCTTTATATCTCCTTTGAAGAGGAGATATTTTTAGCTTTCTGCACTTCTTTGCAGAAAGATAAATGCTCTCCCTTCTGGCATATGCTATTGTGGATGAATTTAAGTTACATGTGGTTTGTCTGTCACTTCTGAGGACTCCTTTTTTTTCTTTTCTTTAAATGAGGGATTACTATTTTTTCTGCATTTTTAAGCTTATAAGGCAGCTTGACACTGAGCATGGATTTAATACTATTTTCGACTTTACTGCTGGAAACTTCTGGGACACCCAGCATCTGTCCCAAGGATGCAGTTATTTTTTTCTGTCTCTGCTGCTTATAGACAGGAAACATAAAATTTTCAGTCTGGAGCTGTGTAGGAGAAGTTGGAGAAAAACAGGTAAGAAAGTTCTAAGTGTTGGTCCAAGTTTATCCACGAAAATGACTGACTGCAGCAAAAGCAGTTACTTGAAAGTACCCCTGTCTGTAGTGCCCTTCTCTGGTCACTGGGTGAATGCTCTGAGAACGGCACATATCCGTGATGGATCTAGCAGAATTTGGTGCTTCCCTTGATGACCTTTGCTAAATATGTGTAACAGTATCAGGGCAGAAGTCTTTTGTACTACAAATAAGGAAGACATACTTCAAAACACTGTCTAGTGATGTATTACATTAAAGTTGTCCTTATTAGTATTTTCTGTTCAGCAGTATTGAAACAAAGGGAAAGTTTGTTTAAAAGAATTAAAGGCTGATAAAATATCAATCCTCACTACTAAATTTTTTTTAAGTAGTAAGGCTTTTTATACACTAATGTGCTGTATATGTTTTTGTAGTTTAGAATTAGAGAAAAACAAAACTGCAATTATTAGTTCCTTTTAACTTCTCTGYCTTAACTAGGTCCTTTCTGATGATGCTTGAACTGTTGTCCAGACCTTTTCTCAGCTATATGAGTTAGTATTTACCGAGAGGGCGGCAGCGTCTGGAGACACCTGTAAAAACTTCCATGGCTTCCATTTCTTAATCGCTGAAGATCCTCTAGGAAGTGGGAATGCAGGGAGCTTGTGTTAAACTGTCCATTTTCTTCCCTTCTCTCTAGCCAACTGCTCGCCCTATTTGGCTTGAACTGCCCTGAGGAGCCAGGTCCCGAAGAGCAGGGTTGAACAGGTGGGAAGTTTGGAGCTCCTTATGGAAGAACACCACAATGGTACACAATTACTGGCAATACAAATTACATGTTTACTGGTATTTTGCAAAGAGCATGTGTATTTTAAATTTTACACTTTAAAGATTAGTGAAATTGAATGTTAAATTTAGTTAATGTTTGATCAAATTTGTTTTGAAGAGAATTTGTTTAAAATATTTTATTACTTGTAGTTTATAAACAGTAGCTTATTTTTAGCGTTGAAATAATTTGCTCCACTTCCTACCCTTGTACTTCTGTCTTGGGCAGAATTTCTTTAGTGTATATATAGTAAGTGATAAATCTTAAGCAAACCTTAAGGAAAATCTGGCTACTCTGCCTTTTCATAAACAAACATACTTCCCAATATTCCAGTCCTAGATCTAACGTGAAATTTCAATAGCACACAGATTTACTTAACTTATGCACCATTTTACAGAAAAGCACTAGTCAATGAAATGTTCAGTAAAATCTCTGCTGCTGGTAGGGCGTTACAGCAGGAAGGACGGGGAGGCTGGAGGCTTTGCAGCAACTTCCAGCAGCTGCYGCCAGCGGCTTGGCGCAGTCCTGGGGCTCGCTGCAATACACAACTCTGAGGCAAAAGACCGAAAGAAGAATTAACACGTAGAACCTCCGTCTATCTTTACAGAGGGCTCGTGAGCTGCATTTCTTGCTGTTGGTCAGCAGCAGCGTGAGCTCCTCATCAATCAGCCCACCTTCTCCTGCAAAACAAAACATCATTTAACATAAAAACTATTTCCAGTTGGAAGTTTTTAAAATCGGGGATGTGTAATTCGTTTTGAGTAAGCGGTCTCTATTTCTTTACTTGCCTATGGAGCACTTCTCAGTAAAGTGCTTTATTTATTGAATGACAAAAAAAATAAAGGTCAGGTGTTTTTCCTGAGATGAGTACAGTGCATCAACCTCCTTTTGAAAGTGTGTTTAACAGTTTACATTTCTGGTCAAAGTAGGGGCCAGGCGGCACGTGTTGAGGTCTGAGGGCCTGACCTGCACAGGTGGTTGTGAGCGGGTCTGTCTGAAAAGCGGTTGTCAAAAGGGGATATTGTGTAGCCAGAAAGTGATGCAACAGGAAGAGTTCTTCCAGGTTGAATAATTTAACTTAAAGCAGTCAACTACAATGGCCTTTCCGTTAAACATGTTTCGCACATATATATTTTATGATGTTAATTTAGGTGCAGTTACAGTAGTTAAGCTTAATTTGTGCTTGGTATTAGATACATAGTAACCATTTAAGCGTTGTCATTTGTAATGTTGAAATCATGTGTTTGACTTCTGTGCTTGAATTTGAACATTGATATTAAACTTAAGCTGTTAATATYGGTGCGTGTCCAGTAGTCTTGGAACAATCGCCCTGCACGGCTGGGTGAAGCCCCCTGAAAAGAAAAGTCATTTTAAACAAAGCCCGTTAGCTTATCAGGCAGCTTCTGTCCTTGGCAAAGGGTGTGAAAGGCCGGGCTTTCCCGAGAAACGCGGCAGGAGGGTGCGAGAGCCGCGGCAAAAGGAGGGTGAGAGGGAGCGACTGTCCRTGTGCAAGGAGCGCCGTGTGCTGGTCGCGGCTCTTGGCTTCGCAGATAAAAAGCGAAGGCACCAGGACTAAGCAGCTGAAGAAGCAGTTGCACCTACCTGCTGCACGTGGGTGTTCTTGAACATGCCGTGGAAAATCGCTAATCAGTGCAAAATGCAAATTGTCTTTGCAGCGAGAGTCTCGCTGGAGCTTATTAACCTTCAGAAAAAAAAWTATTTAAAAAACAGTGACAGAAGGAGAATTTTTTTTTTTGTTTTTGTTTTTGTTTGTTTTTCCCAGTACTACTGCATCATGTCAGTCAAAAATAAATCCTTGTGCTTCCCTGGGGTAAAAACTAAAGCCCCTCCCAAAACCAAGAGAAGCAGAGCGTTGGCCACTTTCTTCTGCACCAAACCCCCAGCCTGAAAAAGCTGTCCTAAAAATAACTTGAAGTTGTAATTTTTCTCAGTTGCCCTTTCCCTCTATTTTATTTCTTTGCCTGGAGGTGGGGGTCCYGGCCACGGCACCGAGGAAGCCTCGGGCACAACCCAGGCGATGACAGGGGATGGGTTGGGGCCCGGGAGACAGCGCCGGACGCCCCTCTGGAATGACCCACAGCAGGGGGGCGGCCTCAGGACCCGCCAGGGGAGGCTCAGCTCCGCTCRGGCAGGAGGCACCGGCCTCCAAAGCCGCTCCGAGCCTGGCCGACCTCTCTATCCAAGAGCCTCTCCACCCATCCCTTTCACCSACCAACACAAGAACATGAATAAAGTTAAACCTTTGACCGGAGTTGGGATATTGTGTGTTAACATTGAGTATTTATCCAGGGTCAAGAGCTGGTGGAAAAAAAACARTGAAGAACTCGACAGCTAAAACTCKATGGAAAACATGACCTACCCTTGGGCAGCTTGCCAAGAAAGGCGCCATTCCTGCGAATCTGTGCGAGTTCCCACCTTGATCCTCAAACCTCTTCTTTGTGCTGCTGCCACAGGCTGTAGCTGCTATCGACTCACCGGTTCCTGCAGGAGGAACCAGTCCCTAGTGCATAAAAAACAAGCACGGAGTGAAAAGTTCTTTGTCAAAACGGGAAATGCYGCAAAGATGAAACGAGACAGGACGGCAAGAAGAGTTTTTAAAAAAACTCTTAAAAGAGTTAAAGAGTTTTAAGGTAAAAATATTTCAAGTGAAAAAGCCATTTCACCCTGGTCAGCACTCTGAGGTTTGACAAACCCACAGGGAATAGAGAAGATGCCCCTTAAATTCCACTCCCTTGTGTGATTTAGGAGCCTCCCTCTGGCTCCACAGGTCGCTTCCATCTTGGCTTAGGCAACTTAAAGTTTAAATTACTCACGGAATCMAAGGACCTTTTATTTGTTTTAATTTCTATGGGTTTTTTTTTTCCTCCTTTTGAACAAAGGCTACAGAGGCCTCAGAAAATGGAGAACAGCTCATTTGTAGCATTTTTTAAGAGGGTGGTAGAGATCTTTTGCACATGAAGTCTTAAAATGAAACATGTAGTTTTCATCACCAGAACATTGATTACAGACGGCTTTTCACTAGACAAACACCTGAAAAATTTGTCTTCACTTTCTAAAGCATCATTCACACGAGAAGGCTACCTGGACCCTTCTAATAATCAGGCATGTATTTGGATGAAATTTTTCACTATGTATTCCGAGCCATTCCAGCTGTGGGGGCTTCSTGCTCCGCAACGTGCCAAGGGCAAGGCCGAGTCCCAGGATTCCGTCTGAAACACTCCATGCGCAGCAGAACAGGCTGCAGGGATCACAGAGMGCCACGGATGGAGCGAAGCCCCGTGTGGGGGTGAAGGGGGAGCTGTGGCTCGGTGTGACCAAATACTTCCAAGTGTTCCCAAAGGTGCTCAGCTCCCAGGTGCGGGAAGCTCAGATGAGAGCAGTGTCAGTGAGATGGGGCTTCCCAGGCAGATGGAAGCGACGCCGATGTTTTTCTTTTTGGAAAACAATCCGCTCTGGGGGAAAGTAACCCAGAGCAGAGACCTCCACCCGGAGCGCTGCGAAGGGCATCACAGAGACCCGCTCTCTGGAAGGATGGACGTGTGAAGAGGGATTATGAAAGCTAAATATGAATATTTGGCTAATCGCTGATTTAATGAGGGAYCAGGAGATAAGTTTACAACTATTTAATTCACAGAATGTTAATGCTATTGGTGAAGCAGACTTTAAAAAAAAAATGTTAATTTCCTAGACAGTGGMTATGCCCCGGAATTTTGAAAAGCAACATTGGGACAGTAATTTCGTAAATGTCATGTAGGATTTGTTTATGTTTAAGAGCTAACTTAAGAAATCTTACCTGCACCAGGCTTCAGAACGTGAGAAAAAAGGGGGAAGGTTATCTGTGATTGTTCATCAGATTCTCCAGAAACTCTTCTCTTTAATTTAAACTTCTTTTAGTTCTAGGAAGCTTCACACCATGCACTCGCTCGTGCTAGAAAGGTATGATGCACCTATCATGAGAACACTACGACTGCGACAAGCAAAAAAAATATTTCTACTTTTAACTCACAGCACTTTCAGAAACTTATTATTGTTACCTGAGTTTCTAATACAGCTGCACTTATCCCTGTTAGAACAGGGAGTGATGGAAACCAGTGCAGTAAGGTCAGTGTCTCCACTCAGGCCTTGAAGCCATCGGAGCTCAGCCACCACAGCAGTAAAAGGCAGTTACCACAGTGAATCCTTCCGTCTCCAAGGCACTGGACTGGGAGCAACGTGTAACACTCCTGATTAACACTGGTCTGCGATGACAAGAAAACTAATGGTGATTTAGATTACCTTGACCAAGGACTGTTCCCAATTATTGTATTAATGCAGAGCTTCCAGAAATGGAAGCTCCTGTAGCTTTCTGAAGATTTTTTTTTTTTTTTTTTTAAATCCCCATCCTTGCAATACCTGCAGTCCCAAGGCTTTCAAGCAGCAGGTTCTTGCATGACGGGAAGTTTCTTGCCCGAACCCCTTGGTCAAAGCCCTCGCTCGTGCCATGACAGCACCCTCCGGAAAGCCGCTCTGGCCGGGCGGGCCAAGCCTGCCCTTGGGCAGCACCCAAGGGCAGCAAACAGGCAGAAATGCCCCCTTCCAGCCACGTAATACATTGCAGGACTCTGGAAAGGCAGCGATTCGGCTGASTGCCGGTTTTGTTTAAGCAATTAAAGACGCCTGTCAAGCGACTAAGGCAGCTGCGTCCTCTGAAATCTCACTGTACACCTCGGGTAAGGGGACGGCTGCCCGCTGCCGAGAACAGCTTGGCTTTTGCTGCTACACTGCTGCGATTTTGAGCTAGGGTCTCAACACAGACACAGAAAATGAGTCTTTAAAGAAGAATTAAAAACAAGAAAAAGAAAAATAGGCTGAGAGGGTGATCGGAGGGAAAAGTGGCACTTAACCATTCCCTGCGATGGGATCCGTGCAGCGTGCGGGACCCACAGCGCAGCCCCTCGTTGGGCTGGCCTGGAGCAGCCCAGGGAAGGTGGCAGCTGCCTGGAGCAGATGGGGAAACCTCTGTCCTTCAGACACTCGGAACTACGCTGGACAAGGCCCCCGGGTGCTTACAAGTTGGCCCTGACACAGCAAGGGATGGAGCAGGGACCTCCACATGTCCCTTCCCCTGCGAAGGAGGCTCCAGGAAACACACAGGGCAGCACTGAGCCGGGACCATTCGCCGCCTGGATAGGAGGTGGCACCAGCTGGGCAAGCCCAGCACCCTCAGTGTCTGCAGAGGGGCAGCTAAGATGAGAAACAGGAGACGTGTGGGGCTGGGAGATGCCCTTGCCCCCCTTGCCCGAGCGAGCCAGGCGCCAGCCCCCGAGCGGGCACAAACGCTGCCYGAGGATGTGCAACGTGGGAAGGGTGAATCCCTTTGCCACCCGGCTACAGGGAGAGAAACTCCGAGATGTCATCTCACAACATCCTGATCGCACACAGTTTCTTTTCCTTTCCATCCTGTGCCTTCATAAACCTTTGAAAGCTGCTCCTGTCTGAATTCTGCAGATAAACCTTTTTTTTTTCTTTAATCTTAAATAGTTTTGAATTAAAGTTAGTTTCACAATCCTTCATGCACCAAGACAGCAGACGACTCCCATCCCATTTAATCACACCTATACAGTGCTCCTAACAAACCCGCAGA